AAAACCCAGGACCTTTTTGGACCTTTTTGGTCCTTTGCATGTTAGGCCCTAATGTAATACACACCCCTAATGTAGCCAATCCTAATGAGTTTCTGCTGTTGGGTGTGGCCTATTATGCTAATAAGTTCCTGCTAGGCATGGCCAACTTGGAAGCCAGCCGGAACTCCGTTCCTGTGCGTTCCTGCCCAAAAATAGCCCTAGGTCTCCCTTGTTCGAAAGCTAGTCGGATTGTATATGCTCCCCCAAATTCTAAAGCATTAGTGTGAGAATAACTTGAGGCCAACGTTTGAGCTGAAGACAGAGCCAACTAACATTTGGCTTTTATATATGATGCCTGTTTCCTTTATCCAAATTCAGAGTCCAGTGGGGCACCTTTAAGACCAACAAAGGTTTATTCAAGGTATCGAGCTTTCGTGTGCAAGGCACATGTCCTCAGATACATTGGAATGGAAGGTAGGGTTCAAACTTATAGGCAGGGGCTGAACGGCAAATTAACATGTAACATGATGAAGGTGTTCTAAGATGTGCAGAGACAAAACTAAATAACAAGCTAAGGTTATAAGGTCAACTGTGGTTTTGATTTAATTAAAGGGGGGGGACAGCAAAGCAATAAATATGTCAAAATAGGGCAAAGGCCTTTTTTCTAACTGTTGGAAGAAAACCGAGATTCCCCTTTCGTCTCCTCTCAGGCATGGAGGTAACTTAACAGCATTTTTCCCACTCAGTATTGTCTACTCAGACTGGCAGCAGCTCTCCAGGGGCACAGGTGGAGGTCTTTCACATCACCTACCGCCTGATCCTTCTAACCTTGGGATGCCGGGGATTGAACCTGGGACCTTCTGCGTACCAAGCAGAGGCTCTACCACTGAGCCAGGGTCCCAGATCAAGGTCTTTCCCATCACCTCCTGCCTGGTCCTTTTCATGGGAGATGCCGGGGATTGAACCTGGGACCTCCTGCATGCCAAGCAGAGGCTCTACCACTGATTCAGGGTCCCAGATCAAGGTATGTCCCATCACCTCCTGCCTGGTCCTTTGAACTGGAGATGCCAGGGATTGAACCCAGGACCTTCTGCATGCCAAGCAGATGCTCTGCCGCTAAGCCAGGGTCTCAGGTCAGGGTCTTTCCCATCACCTCCTGCCTGGCCCTTTTAACTGGAGATGCCGGGGATTGAACCTGGGACCTTCTGCATGCCAAGCAGATGCTCTGCCACTGAGCCAGGGTCTCAGGTCAAGGTCTTTCCCATCACCTCCTGCCTGGCCCTTTTAATTGGAAATGCTGGGGATTGAACCTGGGACCTTCTGCGTACCAAGCAGAGGATCTACCACTGAGCCAGGGTCCCAGATCAAGGTCTTTCCCATCACCTCCTGCCTGGTCCTTTTCATGGGAGATGCCGGGGATTGAACCTGGGACATCCTGCATGCCAAGCAGATGCTCTACCATTGAGCCAGGGTCTCAGGTCAAGGTCTTTCCCATCACCTCCTGCCTGGTCCTTTTAACTGGAGATGCCAGGGATTGAACCCAGGACCTTCTGCATGCCAAGCAGATGCTCTGCCGCTGAGCCAGGGTCTCAGGTCAAGGTCTTTCCCATCCCCTCCTGCCTGGCCCTTTTAACTGCAGATGCTGGGGATTGAACCTGGGACTCTTCTGCTTGCCAGGCAGAGGCTCTTCCACTGAGCCACGGCCCCGCCCCTGCTTCTAGCTGGGTTCGCTGCCTCCAAACAAACCCTTCTGTGTTCTAGGGAGAACGTGCTGAAGAATGTCTCGGATAAAGCTTTCAACAAGCCCATCTGTGAGGCCTTGCTCAACCAGAAGTTCTTCAACGGTATCGGCAACTACCTGCGAGCCGAAATCCTCCACAGGTGAGGGGGGAGCCGGACACTAGCTTGAGTCAAGCCATTCAGAGTTGGCTGAGATGCTTTTAGAAGCGTTGGTGACCCAGTACAAAAGGACCCAGAGGCCTTCCTGCAGAGGGAGGCAGGGCTTTTCTTTCCTGGGGGAACGCGCCGGAACGGAGTTCCGGAACATCCCCGACAAAATTCTTTTTAAGAAAAATGTTTAAAACTTCATGAGTTTTCAGTATACAGCTTGAAGACTTCCATTTCCCTCTTGAGAGTTTCCGGCACCTCTTTTTCCAGTAAAAAAAAGCCCTGGTGTGCATAAAACACACGAGGCCTTCATGCGCTTGGCAGAGCCTTACGGGAGAGAGGGGGGAAGCTGTCTTTGGCCTGGCTTCTCGCGTGTGGCAGTGACTGCACATCAAGGCACCGATACACTCACAGGCTTGCTGAATCCGAGTGGCGACCCCCAGATGGCGCCAGGCTTCGAGCAGGGGTGGAGGTCTCCAGCGCATCTTGATCTCTGATGTCATCGCATACCACGTCGCTGCGATGTCAAGGATCAGGGGTCATTTCGTAGAAAGAGAGGCAGGAGCTCATTAGCATAACTCATTAGCATACCTTATTTGTATATGCCACACCCCCTGACATCACCGGAAGTGTGTCAGAAGGCAACACCCACCGCTCAGGCTCCACTGGACTGTTTTGGATTGCTAGTTGGGGGGGGGGGGAGCATGCAGATCTGTCCTCACAGAGGAGGGAGAGCTTGTACCTGAATAAAACTTGGTCTTAAAGGTGCCCCTGGACTGTTTGGGCCCGGGGGGCCGGGGGGGGGCTCTGCAGCTTACCTGGCTACTTCTTGCTCTGACTGAGGGCTGCTGGGAGCAGGGGGCGGGGCTTGTTGCATGTGCCCACCCCTTGGGCTCTTTACTGCTGGAGCTCCGCTCCTGTGCGCTCCTGCAGGAAATGACCCCTGTCAAGGATTGACAAATGTAACTGTTGCCTTTCTGGGGGCCCTTTCAGGTTGAAAATCCCTCCCTTTGAGAAGGCAAGGACCGTCCTGGAGAACTTGCAACATCGGGAGCCGGTGAGAGGGAAGGGGTGGGGGGGGGTATTGAGGTTAACTGGTGTGGTTAGTGTCGTCACCACTAGTTAGCAGAGTGCTTAAATAAAGCTACAAACACCGGAGAGCGTCACTTTACTGGGTTACTCAGCTTACAAACCTACACAGAGCCACGTTGCAAGTTTAGAAGAGAAATAGTAAAGGTTGCCCTTGCTCGAAAGCCAGTCGAGTCCGACTCTAGGGGTGTGGTGCTCGTCTCCGTTTCCAAGCCGAAGAGCCACCGCTATCCGAAGACATTTCCATGGTCATGTGGCCGAGACGCACGGAACACTGTTACCTTCCCACCGAAGCGGTACCTATTCATCTACTTGCAATTTCTTGCTTTCAAGCTGCTAGGTTGGCAGGAGCTGGGGCCAGAGACGGGAGCTCACTCTGTCATGCGGCACTCGGGTCTCGAACTGCTGAACTACCGACCTTCCGGTCTGCAGCTCAGCATCTTAGCGGGGTATAAAACCTCTCCTCCTCCACCACCCCCAGTTTGGTGTAGTGGTTAAGTGTGTGGACTCTAATCTGGGAGAACCGAGTTTGATTCCCCACTCCTCCACGTGCACCTGGCTGGATGACCTTGGGCAAGCCATAACTCTGGCACAGCTGTTCTTGAAAAAGAGCAGTTTCTGTCAGAGCTGTCTCAGCCCCAACTACCTCACAGGGTGTCTGTTGTGGGGAGGGGAAAGGAAAGGAGTTTGTAAGCTGCTCTGAGTCACCTTTGGGTAGTAAAGGGCAGGGTATAAATCCAATCTCTCCTTCTTCTTCTTCTAGAAAAGAAATACTCCTCTCTTTATTTGAGAAGTACACTTTGGAGAGGAAAGGGTAGGGACAGGATAGAGTACTAACTTACTAGCTAAAGGATGGAAGCAGATGGCGAGAGGCCCATCTGCCTCATGGTGCCAAGAGAGGACCACATCAATGTCCCCTCTAAGCTGTGGAGTCTTGTGAGCAAAAATTCTCCTTTGTGAGCTACTGGCCTTAAAGTTGTGAGCGACCGATTTGGCTGCTGCATAAATTAGTTTGCTCTGGAGCCATCCCTTCCTGAGCTAGGACAAAAATGTGTGAGCCGGAGGTGAAAAAACTGTGAGCTAGCGGGAAAAACAGAAAGTAACTTTAAGCAAAAATGGCAAAAAGTCAATAAGTGGATTGAAGAAAATGTCTAATGTAACCCCAGAATGTTGGAAAAAATATGGAGTGTATGTTATGGAAAAATGAAAATAAAATTTTTTAAAAAACCCAAAACAAAACTGTGAGCTAGCTCACACTAAATCAGCTTAGAGGGAACGCTGCACCACGTGTCTCTCTCTTGGTGCGTGCAGGGAGAAAGCTTGTCTTCATCTCTGAGAGAGAATTGAAGGAAGGGGAAATTGGTCCCTGAGAGCACAATCTGCATTTCAAAGGGGACAGTGGCAGAAGAGTAAAGGCGGGAAGAAAGGTCAGCGTGCCCGTCTAGCTATCTAGCCTCTCTTGCCACTCAGTCTGGAGGTCTGAGACAGGGGACATCGCTCCTGGAACTTCCAACAGGGGGGGAACCTCCCAGAAGTCTTTGCTTGCTGGTTTTTGACAGGCCGCTTGGAATGATGGGTACTGGTGTCTCTTCCTTGCCCGCTGCACAGCTGAGATTCTTGTGCCGTGGTGGCAGCTGCTGCCAAAGCAATGTTCAAAAAAAATCTGCATCGCCCGCCCATCAAATCTCCAGTGGCCAATCGGAAGCCTGGCTGAGCAAAAGCCCCACCTGGCCCCGCCCACTTTCTAAAAAACACTGGAAAGGTGGCGGTGGGCACCGTGTTGGGGACCTCTGGTTTGGAGGCTTATCTAGTCATGGGGCGCTTCATGCCGGGAACGAGCCCTCTTGGGGAAGAGGGAGAGTTGACGTTTTCTGGTCATCGAGGTTGCCTGTTTGTAGACTTTCCCTGACCCTTGTAGGACTCCGCCGTGACGCTCAGCAGAAAGGTGAAGCTCAAGCGGGAGAATCCGGACTTGCTGGAGCTCTGCCACCAGCTGCCCACGGAGGTCGTTCGTCTGGGTAAGGGCTGGGCCGACGCACTCTTGTGTTTCTTGCTAGGGTGACGGGCTTTGGTGGATCCTGGCCTCTGGAGTGTTGTTGATGGGCGGGTGGGGGAGAAAAATCAGAGGGGAGGAAGCCTGTATGACTATAGCAGGGGCCCCCAATGGGGCGCCCAGAGGCAGCATGGTGCCCACCAAGTGTTTTTTAAGTGGGTGGGGCTAAGTGGGCTCCTGTCTGGTCGGGCTTCTGATTGGCCACTGGGGATTTGAATGGCAGTGCAGATTAAAGGAACGTTTCTGCAGCAGCTGCCACTACGCAGGCTGGTTTTATCCTTTCTCTGGCCCCACTTTGTAAACCAGTTTACCCCTTTTGTCCCCTGCACTTTGGCTTCCTTTGTGCCTGCAATTGGCTCCGCCTCCCACAGGGGCCATTTTATGGCCCGCCTCCTATAGTAGCCATTTTGTGGCTGTGCCCACCACCCTGTATCAGAATTCCAGCAGTGCCCTTTTTTAGACAGTTAAATTTTAAGCTTTAAAGGAACAGTACTATAAATGTTTGACTCAGTTTATAATGGGATTAATGATGAGAAGACTTGATGTAATTAAGCTAGTAAGAGGATCTCCTCTCTTGGGTTTTTAGTTAGTAGTGGGTTCTTTACTTTATCCCGTAAATGTAGTTTCCCTTCCCTTTTCTTCTGTTATAGTTTTTGTAGTGATATAAGAAATAATTAAAAAATCCCCTCCGGGGGGTCAAAAAAAAAAAAAAGAATTCCAGCAGTGCCCACAAGGAAAAAACGATGGGGGCCCCTGGATTATGCTATTGTGTTCTGGAGCTTAGGTGCCACAGATAACTGAAGATCTGAGCAGCTTTGGGGAACAGTACTATAAATGTTTGACTCAGTTTATAATGGGATTAATGATGAGAAGACTTGATGTAATTAAGCTAGTAAGAGGATCTCCTCTCTTGGGTTTTTAGTGAGTAGTGGGTTCTTTACTTTATCCCTTAAATGTAGTTTCCCTTCCCTATTCTTCTGTTATAGTTTTTGTAGTGATATAAGAAATAATAAAAAATCCCCTCCGGGGGCTCAAAAAAAAAAAGAATTCCAGCAATGCCCACAAGGTCAAAAGCGATGGGGACCCCTGGAGCTTAGGTGCCACAGATAACTGAAGATCTGAGCAGCTTTGGAAAAAATTTAAGATGCTAGTCCTTGTTATAGAGGAAAATCTTTTTTAAAAAGCAGAGAACAGCTGCACTTGTTCTGCAAAACTGAAGGTGGGTGAGGAGGTATCTGAGAGCATTTCCTTCTGTGCTTTAGAGGGCAAAGGTTACGACCCGGAGAGGTCCGCAGATTCCACAGCCTTTGAACAGTGGCTTCAGTGCTACAACGTTCCTGGCATGAAGTCCCTACGGGATGCCAACGGACGGACAATCTGGTTCCAGGTAGGAACTGTTATTATGAACATTTGGTCAGAACATCACCATAGGGAGAGATCAGTCTTACCAAGATGATGGGACTTACTCTAGATATGTTGCCCTGACATGTTGGATGGGAGACCACCAAGGGTTGCTATGCAGAGGCAGGCAATGGCAAGCCCACCTCTGTTCATCTGCCCTCACCTGGATGGCCCAGCCTAGCTGGATCTTGTCGGATCTCGGAAACCAAGCAGCATTAGCCTAATATTAATACTCGGATGGGGGACCACCACGGAAGCCCAGGGTTGCTACGCAGAGGCGGGCAATGGCAAACCACCTCTGTTCATCTGCCCTGACCTGGATGGCCCAGGCTAGCCCAGTCTTTTTTTTTTAAAACAAAGTTTTTATTCAATTAATCAATCACAATCAACATTAGTTATGC